GGGAAAATTGCTAACTCGGTAACCAGAGAAGCTGGAAAGCTGAAATTTTGAGGGAATGTTTCCTGTCCAAATGCAACTTAAGTATTTCAAATTCAGTACGCGTCGCTCTTATGTACGAGCACTTAGAAGTTTTGGCGGAAAAAATTTTTCACTGAACAACTAGGTTACTTTTAAAGAACGACTGTTAAATGAAAATTGTGCATTTACTTTGCAAAATTTATGGTGATTTATGCTAGTGACCGCAAAAGGTAGGTGTGGAACAACAGCCATTCGTGCAGTTAATAGCCTGAGTAATTCAAATCCGGTGCAAAAACGCATGGTCGCACGGGCCCGCCGGTGCGTTCCTGCCTGGGTTTGAATAAGTCTAATAGCTTACTGCATGCATTAATTCAATGTATTTTTCGAGATGTGTCGTGGCCAGCATTATTTCGTCGTTCAGTACCGCAGTGTTTGCGATATTTCTGTGAATCACTGATTGCCTTTCGATTTCTCCTGAAAGCACTTCAGCAGATGAAAGATCACTGAGGAGGCTACTACTGTAGTGTTGCACAGGGAAAGATTTGAATTTGCCATCTCAGTGCGTCGAAGGGTTAAGTTTTCGGATCAGCTACGATGGTATAAGGAATCTGTTGAATTTTTTGTTTTATATGCCTTCAGCGCTGAAATTCTAGCTTAGAAGTGAATTCTTCTTGTGACTGGAAAAAGGGGGGGTGGGGGGGAGGGGGGTGAGGGCCGCCATACAAGCTTTAGGTTCGCAGTTTTATTTCTTCAATTTCTCTGTTTCTAGAACATCAAAACAATGCGAACACATGCAAACACATTCTCGCTAGCCTCTTAGTGCTGAAATTCGATACTTGCCAGAGCATCTGCAGATATCCAGTTGCATTCTCAAATATTCCGTCGCTTGCGTATAATTCTTCTCCTGGTAATATGCAAATGAAAGAGCACCGAGTACGGAAAGTTTTAGCTCAGACGATTTGCACTCAGTTTTACTATCCACTTCTAAAGCCAGTTTTAGCAGGGTTATTGCCTGCGCCGTGTAGCCGACGTGTAAATATTCCTGGCCAATCACGCTGATCATCAGAAATGGGTCCAGCTTCAGCTCTTCCAAATCATCGTCTTCTGCACTGCCCAGTATTGCCGATAAGCGACCTGAAAACAATTTTTTATAAACGGGAAAAAACAGCACTTAGAAAAGTCCGACATGTAATTTTGTCTAGCTATGGGTGTAGAGCTGCAACCTCACAGAAATATTTACATACGCCGGCCATAGCTGTGCCGTCAGACGTGTTTGGCGAGGTCCAGTAGTGGTGCTAACTAGGAATTACACGACTTGGGCCGAAACATTTTTGTTCGGCCAGTTTTTATGCGCTTTT